CGGAAGAGCTTATGAACAACTTATGGTACTTATTTTATTTTATAAGTACTTATGAGAGTATTTGGATAAATTTATAAAAATATTTTATGAGTAACACATAATATATTTTGAGCTAATTTTGATTGATTGTCTAATATAGCACATTACTTAGTTTATACGAAAATTTATTGGGAAATACCTTCAAATATCCTTTCACCTATGCAAATAATTTTTATTTTTATTTTTCATTCTTCCAATAAAAACCAATTTTATATTTTTTCATTACTCTCTCCAAAAAGTTTTTGTTTCTCTTTTTTTTTTTTCTCTTCTCCAAATTTTCTTTCTATATTTTCTCCCCAAAATCCACATTCCCTTTTTATAAAAATAAAATCCTTGTAACTTTATTTTTTCTTCTCTGAAATAGCACATATGGAATAATTTTGTTATTCGTAACACTCCAAATTTATCCAAATAAATTAGTAAGAGATTTAATTATCTAATTGAGATGTTTTATAAATAAGAATATTTATAAAAAAAAATAAAGGTTGTGAAATTAATTTATTGTGTTGGAAATTTTATGTATTTATCTATAAGTTATGAATAATTAAGGGACAAAGAGCGTAACTATGGTTAGTTGTTTTACCGATAGATTAAAATCCGAGTTAGGAGGCTTTATAAGGAGATACTAGGAGATTACATTTCCCTATGCTTACTTTCTCCCTATGCTTATAAAGAGCTTGGAAAATCAGAGGCTTTCAAAGATCATTTCGGAGATTCGTACCCTATGTTTGACATTCATCAAGGTAAAGGGGAGTGAGTAGCTCACTTTGGGATGAGGAATATCAATGGGATAGTGAGATTGATCTCAATCTCTTTTCTGTCGTGTATGTTGTGTGAGGGAGAAATCTTAATTTTTTATTGTACACTGTGATTGTGTTCTATACTTTTCTTATGTGCTTTATTTGTAGTAATTGATAAGTAGATATATTTAATTCTATATAATTGCATGGTATGACACACTCTATCCCGCATACAATAATACGCGAATAAATAAAACTAAATAAAAAAAATTCTATCAAAATTATTTCCAAATATTCAACATAGAGAGCACCACATTTTAACAAAGAAACCAAATGAAATTTAATACCTTAAAATAACAATGTCCTAAAACATAACTCAGAGAAAAATCAATTCTAACTAAACTCCAATGTCACATCCTATTAGAGTAGCAACATCCTCAATCTCATGATATAAATTACCTGCAAGAACAAACAATAGAGACACACACAAAATAAGGGAAGTGAGAAACATCTCACTTTGACTCACGATGTAGAATATAGTCGAATAGTTAAACACAAGAAAAGAGGAAAAAATATAAAACATAACAGACTACTGACAGATATATTGGTACAAAAAAAATACAATTTGACTAATAATACATATATCATATGACCAATATAAGTCATCACATAAATTCACTTATATACATATACATATGATGCAATGGACACAGACCTCAAAATGCATATACATATGACGCTAGTAAAATCAATTGTCAATTATTGCTTGAAGGCCACCACCCAAAGGCTCACAACTGTCAATTGTTGCTTGAAGGCCACTACTTGAAGGCTCATAACTATCAACTATTGCCCAAAGGCCACTACCCAAAGGCTCACAAGTATCAACTGTTGCCTGAAGGCCACCGCTCAAAGGCTAAATCTTAGTTATGCGTATGATACATGTCAAACATGACTCAATACATTATCATATTATAACAATACACATCACAAATGTATGTCAATTTACTTGTCACAATAGTCTCATCAACATACAAAGACAAAACTCCATTCACTTTACCAAGATATCAATGTACACACTCAAACAATTTGCCGTTTAACAATTTTCCATAAACATTTCATTTACAGCATTCAATTCTCATAATGTCACAATTTCATTATCATCATTCACAAATTATACTTTCATAACTTAATCTTCTAAGGCATTGTATTGTTCAAACACCTTAAATAGAGCTATACATATGATATTAAAATCCTTAGCTAATTACTAGAAAGGTAATAGTATTTGGAGGATAGTCGACAAATTAATTTCATATAGACTTAGTTATGCATGCTAAGGTCGTAGTAGGCTTACACCCACGTTGTTTTATCCCTAAAAATAATACTAGACTTTCTTAGTTTAAGTAGCAAAACCCGAGAAATCAAATAAGTTGTAAACAAGTGTTGAAGTGGCCTAAAGTTGTTTATACTTGACTTGAACAAGATAGGTTAGACATTATAGTTCGGTAGGGTCAAGTCACTTAAACTACTGACTCCAGATGTAGGAGATCTTCATAATTTAATATACATGATGACACATCAGTTGTTTAAAGTTATTAAGTTGTGTATGAAGTTGCTTGTGTTGAGAAAGTTGTAAGTTGTGAATGGTGATTGAAGTTGATGTTATGCTTTGAGCTAACTTATTGGTTTAAGTTGTTTATGTTGCTTGAGTTTTGATCTCATTACTTGTTATTGTGTTGTTTTTTTCACAAACTTACATTTTCTTTTCCTTATTGTTGGATTACAATGATCATACTTGGTATAAAGTAGAACAGGATTAGGTTGGATGACTTGCTTGGTGGAGGGACGATCATGTTGGAGATAACCTAGTTTTGAGTTATATTATTCTGACATAGTATATGTGTATAGAGATGTTTGATCGACGATATGATTTTTAGGCTTTCATTATTTTGCACTTTGATGTATATTATATACACACACATACAAGGTATATATATATGTAGAGGCTTTATGTTTTCCAGTTATATAAGAAAGAACTGTTTTATGTTTTCTACATCCTATACATATATCTATTGCATGAATGACTAGGTATTGTTTCATGTAAACCCTAAAGTAGTTGAATAATTTATGTTTTTCACTATGTAGTAATTGTATTATACTAACTGTAGTGAAACCAAGGAGTTAGACACAAGTGGTTAATGTGCTCTGTAATATTCTGAAACTTCAATGTAATATTATAAATTTTCTTA